CAAACCCAGGATCTTGTGCATGCTACATCAGCACCCCCCCAACACTTTATTTTAAACTACTTTTAGGCTTTAAATAAAAATTGCCAAGTTAGTTCAGAGCCCCCCCATGCCTTCCATTAATATTAACATCTTATATAACTCACAGAGCAATTATCAAAACCAGGAAATTTGCATTGGCTCTGCTTATGTAAACAGTTGCCCACTGTTGTCCTTTTCCTATTCCTAAGTCTTCCTTATGCTCCCACATTGTATTTACTTGTCATTTCTGCTTAGTCTTTTCCTGTCCATAACAACTCCTCAGTTTTTCCTGATCAGAATTCTAAAATACCTTACTGCTTGTGAAATTAACAGTGGTGTCTGATGGATGTCTCCACTCTAAAATAACTGTCTTCACTTCTGTAGCAAGTAAATATCTTAGGGGAGATACCTAGAAAGTGTGCTGTGAAAAAGATTTATGTCACTTTGTTCACTTAGGTACATTTTTGGTGAAGGTTTGTGGGCATAGATTTAAATCGTTACAGTTTATGAATCATGAAATATCATTCAGCACTTGGAACAAGCAAGGATGAAAATAGTGTATAGGATCTTCAGATCTTTTAATAGATTGCTATTTTACTGACTTTTTCTTACAGGCCTTTGAATGACTGTCACTAGCCTGCATGTGGTAATTAGATACTGAAAGTTCAATTTCAATTCAGTGTTTTTTGTTTTGTTTTGTTTTTTGGTACCAGGGATTGAACTCGGGTCCTTGCACTTGCAAGGCAGGCCACCGAACCGCTGAGATAAATCCCCGGCCCCACAATTCAGTATTTATTAAAACTGGAATTACATTAACTTGCCTTCACAGGATAGAGCATTTCTGTATGGTACCACCTCCTATCCAAAGAAACATCATTTCCCCAATAATGGGACATTTCCCTGCCCTTGGGAATATGCTCTTTCTACAGCAAGCACTTTCACAAACCTTGGAATAAGATTTGATTCTATGGCAGTAGCTTTAGCTAGTGAATAAAGAAGTGAGCTTACATTCTGGCTTTCCAGTTGAAGGACTGCCTTGGCCTTGAGTGGCTTTGTGAAGGGAGATGGGGCAGTGGAGTTCTGTCTCTCTTATCTCTTGAAGTGATGATTAAAGGACCTGATTTATCATAGGTTTGGATTTACATTTATTATATTTACATAATTTATGGCTTAAGCCATTTTGGGGTTTCAACCAAGTTACTAGAAGCACTTTTTACCAAGTTGAATTTCTTGTCCTTGGATAGCTAAAGTCTTCCCTGAGCCAAATTAATAAAATGGAATTTCTTATTAAGAATGAATTATTAAGTAAAATGGAAGCACTGGCTAGGAAAGCAATTGATGCAATTTGTTTTCAAAGCCTGGAAAGTGCTGCAGCGCGCATAGATCACAAGGACTGGCTTAAGTGCCAACGCATGGGGCATTAATTTTCTTTCATAAAGGATTCCAGGTTCACAGGATATCAGAAGTGCTGACTTGGCAGAGAAAGCCCATTTGTAACATGTTAGATTAGGGAACAGATTGATTTATATGTTGATGTAATGGATCAAGACGCAGTCTGTGCTTAAGAAAATGGAAAGCACATTAAATAAGAGAATTTTCAAAGTGAGTGAGTACAAACATAATAGAAAAGAATTATCCTATCTTACTCTAGGTAAGGAAGGGGTATGTTTGATTAGTTGATTCCTAGACATAGTCCACAGAGGCTTTTTATGTTTCAGATGATACCTTTCTGAGAGTCTCTCATGACCACAAGGATTAATCTTTCTGAACTCAAAAGTGAATCACTGTAGCCTATTAGCTGTCTGGATTGATTCCAGTTACTCCTTTTCCTTGGTGGTAACTGATGTGAGGATCTGTTGCTGCATAGCTCCTCTTCCTGTTGCTTTAACCTCTGGTATTTTAGCTTCTCTTTAGGGAAGGTAATGCTGGCCACCTGAGCACAGAGATCAAGTGCACTTACCACTCACGTGTTGACCTCCGTGGTTGACCCATATGCTGAACACTTACACAGTTGGAACTCTTGTGGTCTTTTATCCAGCAACCATTATGAGTAACACATGGAACATAATCTTTGGTGCTGATTAATGGCTGCCTGCCCTAAAATTGACCACTTCACGGCTGTGGCTTGGGTGAGCGCTCATAACTGACACTGGGGTCCTCCCCCCATATTCATTTTTGGAATTTAAGGTGTTGTGGCTTGGGTGAGCTCTCATAACTGACACTGGGCCCCCCCCATATTCATTTTTGGAATTTAAGGTGTAAATGTTCTCCCTTCAGTCTTCTGAAAGATTAGGTGCCACACTCAAATCCTATTTGTGTAATAGCTGCCTTTAATGTTAAAGTATACAAGACTAGAAGTAATTTAGAAAACATTGCTCAGAATCTTTCAGATTTAATTCTGGTAGTTCAATGAATGTTTGAATTAAGTACCGTGAAACTGTTACTATAAATAAGTGTGTAATCCTTTCTCCGGATACCTTTAAATGTTTTTCTTTCTTTGGAGGAGGCAGGAATTCACATCCGTTTATAATTTCACAAGCAGTTTTACTGAAGGAAGGCCTTGGACTTTCTCCTTTAATAAGTGATAATTCATCACAGAAGGTGACAATTTTAGTTAATAAAGGTGGCAATTATTTATTGGATTTAATAGGGATGTTTTTCAGATTTATTAAGTCTTGGAAACATTTTAATTCCAAATTAGCATTCTTCCGGTCATCTAGCAAATGTTTGTTTCCTTGTCTTATACTAGTAGAAAGCAAACTGATTTTAATAAGCTACATTCTGTTTTGTCGTATTTCTTTCTAGCCCTAATTTACAAGTTGAGCTTTGTCATAAACGTGTGCATAGGAAAAGGCATGTATGGTAGCAGATTTAGTACTCTGTGGTGTCAGGCATCCACTGGAGCCTTGGGATGCATCCCATGGGTGAAGGAGAGGACTGTAGTAATTAGCTGCATAGATAGATGCCTGTGCTCTTCTAGGGCACAGTACTTTGCAGGAACCTTACTGTCATGATTCCTAAGTGCTGCTTCTCACCTATACTTTGAACCATTAATAGTTAAGAACTGGTAACAAATACTTCCCCAAAAAGACTTTATGGAATATTTGTTTTTATCCAACACAAGATACAAGCATTCCTGAAATTCCCACTATCCCCTTTTTCCAAAAGGAAAGGGTGTATCTTGCTGTGTTGGCCAGGTTGGCCTTGAATCCTTGGGCTCAAACAATACTTCAACCTAGCAGAGACTACAGGCATGTCATCTGGTTAATGAAATCCCTTTCAATATTTTGTTCCATGAATGATTCCATCACATATTGAGTAATGCAAACTGTGTTAGTTAGCTTTGTGTTACTGTAACAAAATGCCTAAGATAATGAACTTTAAAAATGAAAAGGAAGCTGCTCCCCATGGTGCACACCTGTAATCCCAGACTGAGGCAAGAGGATATGTAAAAAAACATTAAAAAGGGCTGGGAGTATAGGTCAGTTGTAGAGCAGCCTGGGTTTGATCCCCAGGTACAAAAAAAAGCGTGAGAGAGAAAGGATGAGCTAGGCATAGTTACAACATACCAGCGCTCAGAGAAGTCTGATGCAGAAAGATCATGAGTTTTGAGACTAGCCTGGACTATATATAGCAAGAACTTTTTTTTTTTTTTTTAAACAAAGGAAAAGATTATTTTGGCTCACAGTTTCAAAAGTTTTTATGCATGGTTGGTTGGCCTTATTTTGGGGTCTGTGGTAAGGCAGAATATCATGGTGAGAGAGCATAGCAGACACTGTTGCTCACCTCGTGGTAGTTGAGAAGCAAAGAGAGACAGGAATGGGCCAGGGTCCCAGTATCCTCTTCACAGGCATGTCCCAATGATCTAATTTCTTCCACGGGGCCCCATCTCCTACAGTAGTGCTGGCAAACCTGTGGCATACATGCCACAGCCAGTTGTTTATCATTGAAAGCTCAAAAGGTTCCGTCGCCTCCAGATAATACCAGCTGGCAACCATCTTTACATGTGGGCTTTGAGGGGACATTCAAGATCCAAACGATAGCCCAAGCCAAGCTTGACATCATCATCTTCTTCACTTTCTATTATCTGATCTGTCCCTAAGTCTTGCCCATTTTACTCTGATTTTTTGAATGTTTTTCCCCATCATACCACCTTAGCCCAAGGCACTATTGTTCCTCTCTTGTGCTGTGGTCTGAGCCATTTTCCTGTATATGTTCTTGTTTCTTTCAGTTCACTTTTTACCCCACAACCAGAAAAAGCTTCATAGTTGCATTTTAAAAATAGTAACTTGGAGTTTTAAAATCTCTGAACATTTCAGTGATACAGACTGAAGTCCTTTCAGTGTGCACTCTGTAGACCTGTTTCAGCATTCCTCTCCACTCTCTCATTATCCCCATTCTCCATGTGAGATTCTCCAAGTTCCTTGATCATCTACCTACCCAAGCCTGTGTCAAATTCCTTTTTAATATTGTCTTAGAACTGGGGATCTGATTGTGCATTTTTGTGTAAATTTTGACTTGTGCATTAGAGCAAGAACCTAGAGTGGACCTATCTATGAATTTATGCTCACCCATCCTAACCATTTAGCATATTGCTTTGCAAAATAGTTCTTCAATAAAGACTTTCTGTTGTATGAGTGAGATAAGTGAAATATTGGAACATTAGTCATTCTTTAGATTTATGATTTGATATGTATAAGAATTTGTAAATTGCTTGCATCAGAACAGACTAGTTACACTTTTAAGTTCTCAAGTTGAGTACCCAGTGGAGATTGGGGGCTAGATTTCCCATTGACCTTACACTTAAATCATATGTGCCCAAATTTTATCCTACATCCTGCAAGAAGGGTTTTTTTAAAAAATAAAAACAGTAAATAATGAGACTAAATTATCAAAGACCAGTTTTATTAAAAACCACTGAATATTGTGTTTCTGCCAGTCTTTTTGGAGTAAATGTAGATTTTTGTATTCCTTTTTGGTAGGCTCTTGCAGCCAATGCTGGAACAGGATTTGCTGTTGCTGAGCCTCAGATTGCAATGTTTTGTGGGAAGTTAAATATGCATGTGAACATTCAGACTGGGAAATGGGAACCCGACCCAACAGGCACGAAAAGCTGCTTTGGCACAAAAGAAGAGGTTCTTCAGTATTGTCAGGAGGTAAGATTACTGTCAGTAAATTAAAGCCCCCACTCTTTCCTGGGCCAGAGTTGAGTCTCTTTACCTCATTCTTTTGACCCAAGACCAAGATGCTAATAATGAGCCATAGGTCTTCTGTTTCAGGTGTGATTGAGATCTCACCAATTGAGATCTCTTGCCTGTGGGTGGCTGTGAGCAAGTGCTATAAAAGCACAGACTGATTCTTTCATCTTTCTCCTTAGGAAGATGGAAGGCAAAACATGTCACATGTGTTCTTGTGTTTTCTATTTGTTAATGGCCACCAGCACTGTAAATTATCATCTCAGATCTGATTCATTTTAACCTTTTGGTTCAAAAAGAAGAATATATGATGTTTTAACTTCTTATCAACTCTAACATACAGGGTGAGGGATGAAGAATTCAGTAACATTAACAGACTTATTTTGTGTTTTTTTTTCCCCAAGAAAAAATTTAACAGGGATTGAACTCTGGACCTTACACTTGTGAAACAGGCAGCAACACCACTGAGTTAGATCCTCGGCCCAAGCAAAAACTTTTAAGCATGCCTTATAAGCAAACCTAATACTTAATTGGATTTGTTTGGGGTTGAAGGCTTCCTGGTTTTGTTCTTAAATACAGATTCCTTCTTTGATGAGAATGCATGAAAGCGGTCAAAAATCTAACTTGTTAGTCAAAAGAAAACTAAGGATCTTTTAACTTAATGACTTTATTTGACTCTAGAAGTAGTAGAGTGGAATTTAGATTTATGTGGAGTAAGAATGGAGGATGAGAGCTGGGTGTGGTGGCACATGCCTGTAATCCCAGCACTCTGGAGGCTGAGGCAGAAGGAGGATCGCTGTGAATTCGAGACCAGCCTGGGCTACATAGTGAGTTCCAGGTCAGTCTCAACTACATAGAGAGACCCTGTCTCAAAAAAAAAAAAAGAAAAAGAATGGAGGATGAGTAAATTTAGGTCTTTAATCTTGCTTGAAAGTGTGTACCCACATGCAGGTGGATTTATCATGCATATTTGTGTTTTCTTTTCTTTAACAGATGTATCCAGAGCTGCAGATCACAAATGTGATGGAAGCAAATCAGCCTGTCAGTATTGACAACTGGTGTCGGAGGGACAGAAAACAATGCAAGAATCACATTGTTATACCTTTCAAGTGTCTTGGTGAGTGTTCTTGGTGACTTTTTAGGAAGACTTTCCCTTCTCTCCTTAAATCTAATTTTCTCTTGGCTCACAGTGATGTATCTGCATCCGTTAAGATGAATTTATTGGGAGATTTCTCAGATGGGTATTTAGTGCTTTCTGAATATGGTTTATACTTGCAAAGTCAATGGTTGGCTACTTCTCTTGATTACTAACTTGGCCTCTTCTCCTGTGGATGTCTTGTCTCTGGAGGATCAGCCTTTTCTGTGGTACTGAATAAGCACATTATGCACACACCAGTCTAGTTTTGTCCTCACATTAGCAGTTTGAAATTAATGTATTACAACAGTGGTAGAGAGGGATACTAAAGAAAGCAGCCAAAGAAAGGAAGAATCTTCTGACTTCATCCTACACACATTTGCACTGTTAATTAGGCCACACTTCAGGAGGAAAAGTGACTCATAAAAGCCTGTGGACAGGTGCCAGGGCCAAATGCTATGGGATCTGCCACTTCTAAGGGCTTGGGGCTTACCGAGGTGTTCACGACTCTGTTGCTAGCATTAGTATTCAGAGCTAACTTGAGTAAAGCTGTGGCAGTATTATTGGGGGACAGTTGCTTAGTGAATGTAGCCATCCTGTTTATCACCTGCCAAATCTGAATTATAGTCCCATATCAAGAGCCTGGGTGATTCAGGAAAGTATTTGGACACAGATACTTTAAAAGGGCAAAACAGTCAATTTCAGATTGCCTATAATGGCATTAACATACATATGACATTAACATAGACATCTGTGTAGTTTTGTAGATATGTCTAATTTGAGCTATCAATTTACCTTTTTTTCTTCTCTCCCTTTGTTAAAACCTTAAACCATAGATAGCAGCAAAATGGAATACATTAATTTCTTAGTCTCATGTTGGCAAGGAACAGTGGCCAAATAATAAGGAGCAGCAGCACCTAAAGAGCAGTTATTTAAATCCTGCAGCAATTAATTTGCTTTGTCAGCATTCAGAAGGGGAGAAAAGGACACAATGTGTGCTTAACTCCATTTACTTTAAATGCAATAGTGCAGCACTTGTTAAAAATTTTGTGTGATGTGTATAAGGATGTTCTTTCCTTCCATTTGCCTCAGAGAATTCTCTGCCCATGAGGTTTCATTCATTGTAAAATTCTCAAATGTAAGTGAAACAAAAGATTGTTCTTTAATATTCCTAGACCATAGAATCTGTAATTGTTTCTGTTTTTGCAGTATTCCTCTTGAAGGCCTTAAGCCTTATCTTCCTTGCTAGATTATTGTGCTAGATAACTATTTTTTCCCCCTCATTGAGTTTATTGGTACATTTTAGATATACAGTACAGTTACATTCATTATTGGGATGTGCTAGATATCTAAATGAGACCTGGACTTGGGAGACCCCTCTGATTCTTCTTAGCATTTGACTCCCCACATCCATTTGGTGATATGGCTTATATTCATGCTCCCCAGGGTGGTGCACAGACCTATAGGGAATTGTCTGACTGGTATCTGTCAGATGTTACAACCTCTAGCTAAAAGCAGTTCCCAGTTTCTGCATTCTGTACCTGTTGATGACCTCATCTTTGTAAAGCTGTGTTTGCAGTGGCTCCTGTGACAGAAAGTGTTGGTCTGATTGCAGTTAGGACTTGTGAAGTACTCAAATCACAGTAAGATGGTAGGACACAAATACTTATTAGCTGTTATGCCCAGCTATTATATTACTTTTAAATACTCTTTTGGTCTAGGGTTGTTGCAAAAAAGGAAAAAATCGAGACACTTGGTATTGTGAGTTGAAAAGTTTGGGAATCTCTGGCTTATGTCCTCCTCCATGAGACTCCCACTGTTCAACTTCAGCCTTTTGTCACTGTTAGGACTTTGAAGACAGGTTTGTTGGGATATAATTTATATACTATACAACTTACCCATTGTAAAAAGGATGCATTTTAGGGTTGGGGATGTTGCTCAGTGGCACTGAGTCTGCCTGGCAAGTGAAAGGAAGGTCCTGAGTTCAATTCTTGGTATCAGGGGAGAAGTATGCATTTTAATGATTTACATTATATTCATTTGGTTATGTGGCATGGATGATTATTTTTTTTGAGACAGGGTCTCACTATGTAGTTCAGGCTGGCCTTGAACTTAGTATGTAGTACAGGCTGGTCTCATTCACAGTGATCCTTTTGCCTCAGGCTCCTCTGTAACCTGGGATTACAGGTGTATGCCACCATGCCTGGTAGATTATTCTTCTAACATACAAACTACCGTAAAAATTAGTTAAATAAAAAGTGAGGGTCCTGTATAACTTACTCGCAGGACGTAACCACACTGAATCCTTTTACATGTATTAAAATGAGTACTATATGATGATGTAAGAGATGGTGGTAGCAGTGGCTTCAACCCTGAAACCTCATTTAAAATACTGCTGCTTAGCTGGGCATGTTGGTGCATGCCTATAATCTCAGCACTTAGGCTGAGGCAGGAAGATTGCAAATACAGCCCAGCATGGGCAATTTAGCAACTTATGAGACCTATCTAAAAAAAATAAAGTGTTGGATATGGGGAAGGCTGGGGATATGTGCAGAAGCGTTTTCGCAGTCCTCAGTACTCAAAGAGCTGGAGGGAGGTACAAGCAGATCTGAAGCACAGGCCAGCTGAAGGAGTGGTAGGAGACCTGTAAGCATTACCTGGGATGGAGCGAGTGCCTCTCTTAATTGGACTCTTACCTCTGTCCTTAGGTGCTGTCATCTATTGCTTTTGCTCATTACTCTTATTTTCCCTTTTCCCCTCACTTCTCTATCCCGCTGTATCTCTTGGTCCCGTTCCCATTTGCAAAAGATCTTCTTCCCTGTTTTCTATTAACTTTTTTTTTCTCTTTAAATTATTTATACTTTGGGCTTTTCATATAAGAGAAACCATGCAATATTTAAGCTTGAGTGTGTCTTATTTCATATAACATTATTGACTCAAGATGCATTCATTTTCCTACATCTGACTCAAATTTATCCCTCTTTATGGCAGTATTCCATTGTGTATAAATAGCACATTTTCTTTATGCATCTGTTGATAAACATACAGGCCACTTCTAAGATTTAGCTAGTATGAGTTGTGCTACTGTGAACATGAGGAGACCTATATAATGCCTTTAACTCTTGGGAAGATACCTAGAAGGAAATGCCCAGCTAATGCAATACCACCGCAATTTGAGAGTGAGCTGCTAGCATTGTTAACATCTAGTCAGTGTTGTACTTGTAGTCCTGCCCTGTTGTGATAGCATGCATCACTGCCTCAGTGTGATTCTCTTAAGTGGTATATGTATTGAATATTTGATAAGGTACAGTTCAGTCCTCTCCTCAAAATGAACCTTGTGTTTTATATTACTTCTGCCTTCTGGTTATTTATAAAAATTTCTATAGCTGGACGTGGTGGTGCACACTGGTGATTTCAGGACTTACAGGAGGCCGAAGCAGGAGGATCGCCGTGAGTTAAAGGCCAGCCTGAACTACATACCATGACCTTGTTTTTTTTTTAAAAAAAAAAAAAAAAAAAAAGGAAGGAAGCTAGATCTATGATTCCAGCACTCTGGGGAGGCTGAGGCAGGAGGATTGCCGCAGATTTGAGGCCCCTCTGGGCTACGAAGTGAGTTCAAGGCCAGCGTGAACTACATAGCGAGACCTTGTCTCCAAATCAATCAGTCTTTGTAGTTGTATAGTTTGCTTTGTTTAAAGCTAGTTGCTCAAGAGTTTAAACATTAACATCAAAAGTTAGAACTACACTTACACATAGTGCCTCCTGTTATCAGTTTCTGTTCTTAGCTCTTCAGGGGTTGTATAGATTAGGTCATTTAGTCTTCACAATAATAAGATAAGGAAACTGAGGTACAGTAATGTTAACTTGGTGGAGATCACTCTACTGTTAAATTACAGTAGTGGGATTGAACTCTAGTATTTAACCCTACCCCTATATAAGTATCCCCATAACTTAACACTTTTGTTGCTGTCATAAATTAACAAAATGTTCAGTTAGCCGGGCGTGGTGGCACACATCTGTAATCTGAGCACTCGGGAGGCTGAGTCAGGAGGATCGCTGTGAGTTCGAGACCAGCCTGGGCTACATAGTGAGTTCCAGGTCAATCTCAACTATATAGTGAGACCCTGTCTCAAAAAACCAAAAAAAAAAAAAGTTCAGTTAATACAGAATACAAAACACTTTCTAAGCTGTTGTTTTATGTTAGAATTCAAGTAATTTCTGTTTAGATCAAGTATTAGGGTTTTTCTCAGAAGAGATTTGTATTTTTTTTTTTTTCTTTTTATTAATCATTTTTAAGCATTGGTTCTGAGTCAGGTTAAAGTCTGTATACAGGCCTTTCCCTAGGGCCTTTGGGATCCTCAGAGACAGCACTCTTAACTGGCATTTCCTGCTTTCGTATGAGTGAGAGTTATGTGTCTCTAAAAGTCCCTGTACCAATAGTGGTATGAAATCTAACTCCCACGTGCAGCAGTTTTCACTCAGGGAGCCTGTATTTACTGCTGCATTCCTCCATTGTGGGACCAGCAGCTTCCCTTGTTTTATTACCAGGACAGTAGGACAGCTGGCTTCTCCAGGGCCTGAGATCAGGGCCTGAGGCATGTCCTAAAGGACCCTGCTATAATGGCAAAACCAGGTGTGACTGCCTGCAAACTTTCTAGCAACTAAGCCCTAAGCCCTTTCTTAGTTCACTTTCTTCTGCCTCCCTTTCCTCCTCTCCTGACCGCACAGGTTAGCCTGTCAGCTTTTCTCCCCTCCCCCACCCATTGCCTCTTTTCCTGAGCAGAGCCCACAGCCCTCCCTCTCTTCCTTTCACTTCATTTAGTGCCTGTGTAGAGGGTAGGACTGATGTGTCAGTGTCGTTTGGGAAGGAAATCCTGAGTCCACCATCACCATGGAATCCAGTGACACAGACACCTAACTTTTGTTAGGACAGACACAGAGATAGCAATGTCATTAACCCACTTGTCCCAATCCAGAAGCCATTCAAACGTGTCTGTGATCCCACTCACACTGATGATCTGGAAACATGTCAGATCCCTCCCACCTTGTAAGCAAACAGCACTGTCTATCTCCCACCTTCAGCTCAGTTTTGAATTTTTAGAACGAAATAAAAAGTCATTGTGAAATGCTTCTGTAATCCTTTACCTGTGTTCTCCAATTTTCCTTGATTCACCTGTGTACGAATTATATACTTTTTGGGGGGTTGCTAAACCATTTAAAAGGGAGTTGGAATGTCTTAACATTTCTCCTCTAAATACTTAAACTTACTTCTCCTAAGAGCAGGGATTATTTTCTTATTTAATGACAGTACAGTATCACACTTAGGTAATTTCCTTAAGTGTTCAAATATTACCCTTTATGGCTTCCTTTTAAAAAAACACACATTACATTCAATCTAGAACAGCTCCCTAGACTTTCATTCTGATCTTTAATGACAGTATCTTTTAGGAGTCCAGACTATTACTTAAGTCTTGTATAACAGAATGTTCCTTAATTTGTATTGTTTTATTGTTTTGATTAGATTTGAATGAATTTGGTGGAAATGCTATATAGCCATGCTCTTCTTAGGCTGTGTGTCACACATGCCAGTTTGTCCATTATCTGAGATGTTAATTTGGTCACCTGGTTAATTTCCCATTGTAAAGGTACCTTTGCTCCTTTGTAATTGATCATATCTTGGTGATTCTTACCTGAATCAGCTTTGATAGGGACTGGTCTAAAGTAAGAGTCATCTGAACCTCAGTAGAACACCTGGTCTTAGTTACCTGGACATTTTGTTATTAGAAGAGCTGTAGACCAACACAGGGAAGTAGGAGATACAGAATATTGTCCATGTTAGCTCAGAGGTCATGGGGAGCAGCTATGTATGTATGGGTTTGGAGGGTCCTGTTTGTGTCCCCTGTCCTGAGATGCTGAAACCCAGCAGTGTGCCCACAAGAGATTGTGGTCAAGGAAATATTAAGTTTCTGGCATCAAGGACCTGACAGAATGTGGTGTCCACATGTGCAGATGTACATTAGAGCATGCTCCAGTATACACCTAGCTAGGTAACTTCAGTGAAGGTCTTTTTCACCTTGAGTCATAATCAGATTTGCTTGACAGATTTTCTGTTTTCCAGTGGGTGAATTTGTAAGTGATGTTCTGCTAGTTCCAGAAAAGTGCCAGTTTTTCCACAGAGAAAGGATGGAAATATGTGAGAATCACCAGCACTGGCACTCTGAAGTCAAAGAGGTAAGAAAACAGACAGGAAAAGTTTCAGGGTTGTTTCATCTGTTTGAAGAGAAAGTCATATTGATGTCCAAACCCCACATGATTTTCAGTTATTTTCTTTAATTATACCTAATATATCAATATATTACTTGGTAGAGAAATACATGTTTTTGTAGGGAAGTTTAGCACAAGACAGTCCAGCTCCTAAAGTTGAAGCAATTAATGTGGGGCAAAGGATATCATTTAGTGGAAGAGCATATGCTTAGAGCCCCTGGGTTCTATCCTCAGCACCAAATAAGAAAAATGATTGAGTTCCCTTTATTTAGGCTGCAGATGCAGCTCGGTTAGTAGAGTGTTTACCTCACATGTATAAGGCCCTTAGTTTGATTTGTAGCACTCCCTCCCCCAGCAAAAAAAGATATTAAAAGCTGTTGAACAAGGGTTCGGTATGCTGTTGGCAGGGTTTCCCATGAGGCACTGGAGAAATAGCCAAATCTAGAAAGTCTGGGTCTGGACATGTACACAAGCAGAATCAGATGCCATTTGGCTGTTCTAGTGGAGAGGAGCATCCTTTCTCATTGTTGTCTGTAGTTAGGCTGGTTCACCACTCAGTAGTCCTCTTTGGTCAGAGTCAGAAGTAGTGCCTATACCACCAGTAATAGAAATTAACTTTGATCATCTTAATTGTTGTTGATAAGAAAAACTCTGTTTACCTTAACTTTTTTTTCCCCCGAATTGTGGTCTTTTGATGTTTTGAGCTCAGATGATGTTACAAGTTGAGTAAAATTTACAAATTTTTCTGATGTGGCCTTTGAATTTCTTTTAGGCATGTTTGACTCAGGAAATGACCTTGTATAGCTATGGCATGCTGCTGCCCTGTGGGGTGGACCAGTTTCATGGCACTGAATATGTATGCTGCCCTCCAACAAAGATTAGTGACTCTAGTGACTCTACAATGTCAAAAGAAGAACAAGATGAGGATGAAGATGATGATGACGATGATGAAGAAGAAGACTATGATATTTATAAAAGGTAACTTGGCCTGACACTGAAGTTATTTTGCCTTTTTGTTAGCCTGTCAGTAGAAGTGACTGTTGGCTGGACCCTCACTTCTAGATAAGGTGGGAGTTGCTTTCTTATGCTGGTGTTGATTCAGCCTGCATTTCATACTAGCCATAGCTGATCTCAGAAATACCTGTGACTTTTGGCTTTCTGTTGTTCTAGGGCACATTATTTTCTACAGGTTAATGCAGTCTATATTCATTAACTCTTCCTTTTGCTGACATAGCTGGGCTGAGTGCTTTGGTGGTACTGTTACATGTGAGTTGAACTTACTTCCTGTCGCTGTTTTTGTGTTTCAAAAGAGGAAAGGGAATCATTGTGCTTGGTGCATTGGAATTGGCATTAACCTTTCTTTTTTTGTTATTGTGGCCTTTAGTGAATTTCCTACTGAACCAGATTTGGAAGACTTCACAGAAGCAGCTGTGGATGAGGAGGATGAGGAGGAAGGGGAGGAAGTGGTGGAAGACCGTGATTATTACTATGACACCTTTAAAGGAGATGACTACACTGAGGAGAACCCAACCAAACCCAGCAGCAATGGTGCTGTTTCAGACAAGGAAATTGCTCATGATGTTAAAGGTAACCCTAATGCAAAATCCACATGATCATTGTTTACCTAGAATTTGTATCACGTTCATCACTTGTCACAGGTAAGTCTCACAGGGAAGGCAGTGTCTGTACGGTGAAGGAGAATCCAGTTCTCTAGCACAGTGATGGAGGAGCCGTGATAGCAGTGAGCTGGCAGACATGGCTAGGAAAGAGAGGTGCAGGGTTCAGTGAGAGTTTATGTTGTGAAGATCTAATTCAAGAGTAAAATACCACACAGTCTGCCTGTCAACATTCTTTCACAGCCAGCCTCCAATGTTGTCTTCTCTGAAGGAAAGCTACCCCTTTAGGTTCTGCTCAAGTCCCAGCTTTCAGGAATGCAATGATTTTCTCAGGCTACCTATGTGCACATGTGTGCACAAAAGCACGTGCACATACATGCACACACATGTCCGTTTGTAGGCTACCATCTCTGTACAGATGTTTGTAGCTGATAGGATCAAATTGTTCATACCAATTAAAAAGAAAAGGTGATGATAGTTCCAGAGCTCTTTACTCTTACCCTCTGCTGACTGTTTATTTGAAACCAGTTAAGAGAGGAAGAATTATGACCCAATGGGGAGGAAATTACTTAACTAGTCTAGAAACTTACGATTCATCTTGGAGAACATGAAAATGGGGACGAGGGCCAGGGATTTAGTTCAGTGGCGACACCGCCTGCCTTGCAAGTACAAGGTCCCAAGCTTGATCCCCAGTACAAAAACAAACAAACAAACAAATAAAGAAAATGGGAATGCTTAGCATTTCCAGGTACTTTAGTCTTGACCATAGGTATCACCACTTAAAAACAGCCTTTTCACCTGCAGTGACTCCTTTGTCCCTTGAAACCACCAAAATAGCGTCTCCACTGACCAGAATTCCTCTATGTAAACTCAGACCCCCTGCCATCTCTATTCCTAAATGTCTTCAACACATGAACAGTGCTGCAGTCCACAGATGTCTGACCTGTCAGGGTCCCCTTTGTGCCCTGCCCTGCCCCACCCCGGCCGGACTATAGCATTGTGAAGCATTTGAAGTACTGCCTCTGTCCTCCTGACACTGACCATTTTCACACAGCTGTCTGCTCCCAGGAGGCGATGACGGGGCCCTGCCGGGCCGTGATGCCTCGTTGGTACTTCGACCTCTCCAAGGGAAAATGCGTGCGCTTTATATATGGCGGCTGCGGCGGCAACAGGAACAATTTTGAGTCTGAGGATTATTGTATGGCTGTGTGTAAAGCGATGAGTAAGTCCCACCTCTCGCTGGCCCTTGCAGCAGCACTGTCCTGTCCAGCGTTCTGTCTCCCGGCCGTCCTTGTGACTGCATCTGTGTCATGTTTCTGCCAACTTAGGTGTTGGCTGTCAGTCGTTTTCTCCCCTCATCGTTGTGCCTTCAAGATTGAGGTTTGCCTTCCTGTTTGCAGTTGTCAGCTCAGTTTTCCGTGTCCTATGCTCCCTGTGTGTCTGCTGGTGGTGGTGTGTCCCTTCCCTGGTGGCAGCCAGTGGCACAGCCAGACACTTGTTGTTTCTCATCTGGCCTTGGAGCCCACAGGCTCTAAGGGCACTTTGAGGTTGGTTGGGAAGGCAGATGTGCCCTCGGCTGTCTGGTTGAAAGGTTCTGAGGGTGGTGAATAGCCCTGAATTCTGTACAGGCTTGTGCTGGGACTTCACTGCTTATCCTCATGGTTGAACTACCCTGTTGCTGATCCCCATGATGTATACAACCTGTGGGGCACCTGCTCTCAAGAGACAGTGGGAATAGTTTGTGATTTCAGTATGAAGTACCTTGCTTTATGCACTTGAAGGAGAGCTCTGCAGCCGGTGGCATGGCGGGGGGGCTCTGTTTCTCCAGTATTTTGACAACATTGGGATATGTAGGGCTGTAAAGGAGTTTGTGTGCTGTTTCGGTTTCAGGAAGTGCAGTGGTTGCACTGAGTTGGGTTTTATTAGCTATCAGTAAGAATGGTTAGTGCCTTTTTTCAAGACCCTGTCTCTCCCTGTGTTATGAAAATCCTCCCACCAGACAGCTTTCCTTGGCTCTTCTCTGGAATTCATCAAAATAGCAAGTTGCTGCCTCTTCCTGTTTGCTCTAGAGATTTTTGGCTGTAGCCTGTGATGGTTTTTCATTCAAAAACTGTCACATTCCATTTTTCTTCCTCCCCTAGAATTTAAAAATCTCACTCTAACATGGTGTTCTGTCAGTGCTTCTCTCCAGCTGCGCATGAGGGAGAGGCTGTTGTTCTGTGATACTGTGCCTAAGGGACTTTGGATACATAAACTTTGTTTATTCAGGAAAGATTTAGTGTACTACTGTGTAAAACTACTCAAACTCTTAAGATGAATAAAACATTGTGTTGAAGTGTGAAGAGTTGGGGCCTTTCGTAGACTTTCTGAGTTCAACAGGGGTGCTCTGGGTCCATCGGTGTTTTAAGACATAGTGGAATGGCAGGTCTGTAAAATTATTTCCTATGGCTTAAGGGAGATTTTCCAGGGAGAACACTGCTTGTGTACTTTCAAGGGTCCCTGTCCAGAAAGCCTTGAAAGTCTAGAAGCATCAGACTATTGTATTTATGCTTCTTTTGGAATGAGGGTGAGGCAAGTGAATATGTTGGCTGTGGAACCTATTGGGAGTTTGACCCCTCTGGAGAAGGCCTTGTAGGTGAGCTGTCCGTTGTTCCCAGGTAGAGTAGGGGTGCACTGTGCCTTGCACAGTCAGTCTTTACCCAGCTCAGTGACAGGAGCTATCCTTAGTGCTAGCTTTTACCCTGCTAATGAGTGTCGTGGTAACACATGAACATGGATATGGGTGGACGTGGAATCCTCTGGATGTGACATCTCTTGGGGAACGTGGTTTGCTAAGCAGTGTATTTCTAACTTAGTTAACGTGAAAGCTGGATATTGAGATCCTTTTAAAACATAGGACTCAAATATTCTTTGTAAGTTGTAGCTTTTGCATTTATTAAATCAGAGCAAGCAAAGAAAAGATGCTTCTGAAAGATAAACTTTCAAGTGGCTGCCTAATAGCTGTAGTCATCAGTTGTATGATTGTTTTTTTCATTGTTGCTATTGGGTTTTGTTTTGTTTTTTGGTACTGGGGTTTGAACTCAGGACTTTGTGCTTGACAGGCAGGTGTGATGCCACTGAGCTAAATCCCCAGCCCTTGTATGATTGTTCTAATGAATTAAAATTACATGGTTATAGAAGCTAGTAAATTTTTTCTGGATTAAAAATTAGTTGGATTTTGGCATTTGCTCTCTACTTAGCAAGTCACATGCCATTCCTCCCCAGTCTGGGAAATCTCACTCAAGTGAATTGAACCTGAGTCAGCATTCTCACAGGTATCTCTTCAGAGGTTGCATTTGGTAAACCTTCCCTGTCTCCATCTGCGCTACACATACCGCCTGTGGGGGCCAGTAGGAACTTCCACCAACCAGCAGTGAGGTGAGGGTGTCCTTTTCAATGGCCTTGTACTGTGGCGGACACCTGAGAAGGCCCTTACAAGGTCAGTGTTACGAAGCAAATAAGCCCGGAGAGTCTTCATGGCAGTGGAAGGTAGCCTTTTCGACTATAAAAACTTAGTTTTATCCCCATTAGCCCTGTTTCTGGGGTGAGTGTAAAAGTTTATCATTGATGCTAAAATTGGAGTGGGAGTGGTTTGGACTTCTCTATCCAGCATGTGTACAAAGAACTTTTCACATGAACCATTTTACCAAAATGTTAAGACCTAAAGGTGCCAGAAGAGAGGAAGGGGACTAAGTCATAAGATCCTTAAAAATAGAATTGGCTCTGTATGGTCTAATTTCAGCCCTGGTTCCTGTTCAGATGCCACTAATGATGAGCAGAAAGGTTGCTGTTTTTTAGGTTCTCAGGTTAAAAATCCCTGAAGAGAATTTAGAGAAGCAGCTGTCTCCTTTTCCAAGCTGCAGTACTAGGGTACCTGGGGGTGGAGCCACCAATAAATTGCTGTATTAGCTGGACTGATGTGGTTCATGAGTACTATGTAAAGAAGATGGCCTGTGTAATCTCACAAAGTGAAGTCTTGGTAGACAGCAGCACTTACACTCTTTAGCGAGCCAGGAGATTGAATCCATCCTGCAGGTTCTGGTCTGGGTTTTCTTCTAGAACACTGTGCAGTTTTAATAGTGCACTTGACCCCCAGGAAGACAGTTTCCATAATTTTGTTTCAGTTCCCCCAACTCCTCTGCCAACCAATGATGTTGATGTGTATTTCGAGACTGCTGCAGATGACAATGAGCATGCAAGGTTCCAGAAGGCCAAGGAACAGCTAGAAATTCGACACCGCAACCGAATGGACAGGGTAAACCTCTTAATCTTTTTTTTTTTTTTTTTTTTTTTTTTTTTTTGTACTGGGAATAAAACTCAGGACCTTTCACTTGGGAGGTAGGCAGCAGCACCACTGAGCTAAATCCCCAGCTTTTAAACCTCTTAATCTGAATGGTGCTTGGTATTGGGTAGTTTGCTGTGTGTGTGTGTGTGTGTGTGTGTGTGTGAGAGAGAGAGAGAGAGAGAGAGAGAGAGAGAGGAGAGACAGGAAGGAAGGGAGGGAGGGAGGGAGAAAGGGAGAGATGTGGGGGCTTGAGCCTAGGGCTTTGCACATGCTAGGCAAGCAATCTGTAACATAGTTTTTATAATTAGGAGAGTATACTGTATGGTGTCATACACCTATAATCCCAGCAATTAGGGAGCAGGGTTACCAAAAGTTGAAGGCCAGCCTGGACTACATGAGGAGACTATCTCAAAAAAAAAAAAAAAAAAAAAAAAAAGAAAGAAAGAAAGAAAGAATAAGTGGTACAGTGTAAGAAAAGCTGAGTTTCTGTGGGGCTCCCTTCTGGGAGGGCAACTCTACCCCCTTTTCCTTATCTCCGTGAAAACGTAATTAGCTTTGCTGCAGACACTGTTGAGCATTTCCTGTAACTATGAATTACTTATTACTTTTCTTTGCCATCACTACCTTTTAACAAGTTTTTTAAAGCAGGGACTTACATCTTTGTCACAAATAGACAATTAGTGTTATTTACCATGCAAACAAGTTAACTGGAAAAAGAGATTTGATAAAGACAAACATGTTTTAATGCATTCTAGCCAGATATCAATATGGGGAAGAGGTGCTGAGGCCCAGGCTGCCTTCCTTGAAAGGACTAAGTGTGAGGCAGGAGCCTGCTTCGGATGTGCCCAGGATTGAAGGAGATGGATACAGATGCGCCTTTCAGGGCCTGTGCTCCGGCCTAATACCAGTGTAACAAAGAGGCTGGCCTTATACTTTGGGAAGGGCTCATTTTATTTTTCCGTGTCTCTTCTGAGAAATGGATACTAACCTCTGCTTTGGTAAGGAGACTAAGGGATAGACTTAGAAATAACTTACCCAGGATTGCATACCAAGGAGGTCATGGAATTGAGGCTCTGGTTGAGGCCTAGAACCTTCCTAGGCAATAGCAATGCTGAGCTCAGAAGGGATAATGGGATATAGTTTCCTTTTGCACAGTTTCTGACACTGGGTTCAGCACCTAGCAATATTTTTAGAAGTATGGAAGTTGTTCAAGAGGATTATTCTCTGATGTTTTTGACCTTTGTTCTAGGTAAAGAAGGAATGGGAAGAGGCAGAGCTTCAGGCCAAGAATCTTCCCAAAGCAGAGAGGCAGACCCTTATTCAGGTAAGATACCTTTTCTAGGGACAAAGTGTACACCTTGGCTAGCTGAAAATAAATATATGTTTGGACTCAAACTCCCAGGAAATTTGAATTTGATACCTCCTCTTAGTCAAGGGCTTAAGTTTCGGGGAAGTTATTTTCCTTTTCACCTCTAGCATTGCTTGCTGATGGTAGAAGGAAACCAAACTCCCTTCCCGAACATACCTAATTCTCGCCAAGAAGTAACTTTAGCTCATTTGCCATTTGGTAATTCTGTTTCATTGACAAAAGACTTCTGCCATCTTCATTCTTGGGATATGATTTGTTTTTCAGAAGTATTAGACAGAGGGGAGGTAGACTAATTGAAAAGTCAAAAAGCAGAAAATGATTTTTTTAATAGAAGTTCATTTCTAACTTTATAAAAGCAAAACCTTAAAATAGCAACAAAGGGTAGCTATTTAGGAGGTGAGTTTGATTTGGGAAAACTTTATTTTATTTGTATTTTGGGGATTCTGGGACTTGAACCCAGGACCCCAAATGTGCTGAGCACATGCTGTACCACTGAGCTACATCCCCAGCCCCTGGTTACATTTTACATTTTTATGTTTAGGTGACTTCCCTCTTGTGATGCTAATTATTTGGGGAAAGACCTTTGCTTTTTTTAAATCAGTCACCTTGAAAATCTTGTCTTAATTCCTGTAAAAGCCAGTGTATCATATATATTTCAATTTAATTCAACAGCCTTAAATGGTATCTATAAACCTGGCTAGGTATCTCATAGAAAACTCTTCACAACTTTACCAACATAATTCAGCATAACTTACTACATTACTGGATTATATTTCAATGAATATGTCCTATTGGTCCCTAGTTTTACAGTTTGGAAGTTAGCATCTTGCTGTAATGTGGAAAATACAGGTTTTTACTGTGGTGCACATTGAAACAGCAGGCATTGGGTTTACAGTGCTAGTTTCATTTACCAAAGTGACAGTAGATCTGACTTGCTTTTTGATAAGGAAGTATTCTGATAGAAGCAGGTAAAGCATATGTCAGTCTCACTTGTGCTGCACTCTGAACCTGTCTTGCATAGGCGCTGGGGAAGGAGAAGCACTGAAGTCTAGGTCTGCTTGCTCGACTTCCTCCAGGGATCACATTCTGTTGGTGTTCCTCTTCTCTTGATCTAGCACTTCCAAGCTATGGTTAAAGCATTAGAGAAGGAAGCAGCCAGTGAGAAGCAGCAGCTTGTGGAAACCCACCTGGCTCGAGTGGAAGCCATGCTGAATGACCGCCGGCGAATGGCTCTGGAGAACTATCTGGCAGCCCTACAGTCCGACCCACCAAAAGTGAGTTGGTGTCAGTCTTTTCAGTGCTTCCTGCCTTAAAGTGGTACACTTTACAGAATCAACATGTGGTGCACAGGCTGGTAAAAATTACATTTTTATGACAAGTTTTTACAAAGATAAAGGTAAAGAGAAAGGATTTGGAAGGATAAAGTCTTTTAATATCTGTATATAAAAAAGTTCAGCTTGTATAACTTTATGCCTATGAATACCACCTGTGATATGAAAATACTTCATACTAGAAAAACATAAACTCACAATATTGATAGGTAATTACAAGATTATTGGATTTTCTGTGGTAGCCTTGCCTTAAAAGAATGAAAACATGCCTTCCGTGAATGAAGGCTTCTGAAACAGTTCCATTTGAAATAAGATTATGAAGAAAAGGATAAAGTAATTTATACTGAAACTTGTGCAGGTGGTTGAGACTGCTTTTAATATTTTTGGGGGGTACCAGGGATCAAATTTAGGACCTTGTGCTTGCAAGGCAGGTGCTGTGCTGCTGAACTAAAGCCCGGCCCTTGATAAGTTGGGTTTGTTTGTTTGCTTGTTTGTTTTTAATACCAGGGATCAATACCAAACCACTGTGCTAAATTACCCCAGCTTTTAACCTCTGAATTCTACCCTACTTTGCTTTTGGGGGATGGGAAGCATTGGAGAGGAGGCTGTTTGTGTCTTTCTTGAGTCCACAGCACAGCTTTTCTGTTTGGGTGACACAGGAAACCATTAACTGGAAATTCAGGTGTTAGCAACTGAGCCAGGAAAGAAGAGAGTCAGGGGAGGACTATGGGCTGGAGATTCTAGGCAGTACTGTGTAAGGAGCTGATTCCGTGCTAGAATTTAGTTTTTGATATTCTGTGTACAGGAAACCATTAACTGGAAATTCAGGTGTTAGCAACTGAGCCAGGAAAGAAGAGAGTCAGGGAGGACTATGGGCTGGAGATTCTAGGCAGTACTGTGTAAGGAGCTGTGATTCCGTGCTAGAATTTAGTTTTTGATATTCTGTATAGAAAGTTTTCATTCTTGTACCTTGCTAAGTTTCACATTCTTAAGTGAACTTCTTCAGCTTTTGTTTTTCTACCTATTTTGAATTCTAGTCTGTGGATATTAAATCAGTTGTTTTCTCCTGCAGCCTCATCGCATTCTCCAGGCTTTACGACGTTATGTCCGTGCTGAGAACAAAGATCGTTTGCATACCATTCGTCATTATCAACATGTGTTGGCTGTTGACCCAGAAAAGGCAGCCCAGATGAAATCCCAGGTATGCTGGACGTAGAAATTACTACCTCAAGATTATTTCCAGTGGGAACATACTCCTTGACTAGTAATGAGACAGGATTGCTGGTTGTTTGTTTTACTATTATTCTTAAGAAGGATATTTTTACTTCCAAAGATGTTTGGCACATAAGTTGGTTTTTGCAGCACTGTTTTTAAAACACCTTCCCTACTTTATATTAAGTACTTTGTATGTAACAGTTTCTGAAGGTTTAGAAATGTAGGGTTATCTTGAAGTGATGTCGATTTCTATACCAATTTTTATGTCAATTTACTTCTGAAATCACCAGAATTAATATTTGAGGCCCACTTCTGGGCAGAAAAGTTCTTCAAGCATATCTTAAAAATTGGTCTTGAGATGAAAGTGCAACTCAGAAGTTGGTTTACTTAGGCTGAGTGTGGTGGTGCATACCTGCAGTCCCAGCACTCAGGACGCTGGGGCAGGAGGGTCACTTAGTTCAAGGACAGCCTGGGCTATATAGCGAGACCCTGTCTCAAAAAAAAAAAAAAAGGCCAGAGATTTAGGTCAGTTGGCAGCACCACACCTGCCTCACAAGCACAAGCTTTCTTTTAAACTAGGAAGCTTACTAGCTCCCACCTGTCAGTTCTTCTCATGAGCCTTATAATAACATCACTGACCTTATTATCTTACTTCTTTCCATAGTTTAAATCTACTACTGTGCTGATTGCAAGCACTTGTACATATAGAATGCACTATTGGTTGTAGCTCACATCCTAGAAACTACCAATTCTTGTTGTGCATATTATGATCGTAAGATAATTTCTCTCCTGAGTTTTAGGAATATTGGAGCTGAGTTCTGCTCCATTTGTTGGGCAGAATTTATGTCTCCATCTTCATACCAAGTTCTGTAGTAGCAGCTAACAAAGTTGGGTCCCTTGAGTACTCTTAAATGGCTTACAAGCTAGCACAAAGTTACTTTCACTAACTATAAAATTGGAGAATAATTATCCATAAATGCATAGAGTAGTTCACATTACAAGTTAGATGTTTGCGTGGCAGCACACAAGTATAATTCCAGCTACTCAGATAGGCAAGCCTGAGCAATTTAGGAAGACCCTGTCTCAAAATTTAAAAAGGGCTGGCTTCATACTAGATGGAGAAAAGGGAGGAAGAACCAAGAGTCCTGGTGGACTTCCGGGAAGACAGGGAGAAATGCATCCTGTCAGGGGTTAGGTAGACTTCTGAAGTCTACTCTGTTTTTAAATAAGCTTACTGGTTTTCCAAACTTTGTGGTGAAAAATTAGATAACTATTGTATTTTACAGGAAAGTATCCTGTTTTGTGTAGTCAGAGTAGAAGGGGAGGTATTGCTTAGTATCTCATAGCATCAGAGGACATTCCACAGAGTCCAACCAGGTACAGTAAGAAATAGAGCCATCCCACCATAGTGCAGCCTGGGCTGGCCTTGGACTCATAGCAATCCTCCTGCCTCAGCCTCCCAAGTGATGGAATTGCAGGTGGGTGCCACCACTCCTGAATTGTCTCCCAGTGTTTTTATATCGGCTGTCAGCCCATGATTCTAGCACAAGATGGTCACTGAGTTAAATTAACATCTTTTTTTTTTTTCCTTGGTGCCAGGGATCAAACTTAGGACCTTGGGCTTGCAAGGCAGGTTGTGGAACCACTGAGCTAAATCCCTGGCCCACATTAACCTTTTAATATCTGAACTCTAGAAAAACCCAAGATACCAAACCTTACCCTCATCTGAAATGTCTAGAACCAGAAGTATTTCTGATTTTGAATTTTTTTTTTCAGATTTTGGAATATTTGCCATATACATAATGGGATATCCTGAGGTGGGATCCAAGTCTAAACATGAAATTCATTTATATTTCATATATACCTTCTACATATAGATTGAAAATAATTTTATGTAGTCGTGTTAGTGACATATATTTTGACTGACTTTCATGTGAGGTCAGAGTTCTATGCTTTACAGCATCATGTCAGTGCTCAAAATGTTTCAGATTTTAGAGCATTTCTGATTTTAGATTTGCAAATTACAGACACTCAAACTGCAGAATATTAGCCATGTTTTCTTGACTGAAATATAAGTGATGTGCTCCTCCCCCGTCTAGCTGAAGGGTTTCTATAGCAACACTAATTCCAGTATTCTGCCCTGTGATTCTTTTCTCCTGGGGGTATATGAGCTGGTCTCTTTCAGAAGGCTCCCTGATTCCTCTGGGGAAGTATAACACTGAGACTCTGGGTGGTTGCTCCGTTTACATTTTTTCTCGGAGGTACTGTTGTGCTTTCTTATCAGTTTACTTGATTGACAGAATGGCAAATATAAAATTAAATTGCTTTCATCCTTTTAAAGGTCAGAGACTCCTCAGTCTACAATAAAAGCTTCTTTACATTTAACTTTTTTTTTTTCATTTTGACCCTTCATTGTAATGGCTTTGAGCCCACATAATTAATTTATTGGCCTTGAGCACCCTCTTTAGGAAGAGCAGGGTAACTGAGTCTGACTAGGCAGGGCTCATTTGGCTGTGTGAGCTGTTGAAGCAGAATGCCTTGCTGTCGTTGGTTGGATGCTAGCCCAAACCACATTGCACTTTATTTGTATCTCAGCATTAATTTTTTAAAGAACCATAACTTAGTTAAGTAGGAATAAACTAGTTCTGTTCTTCACCGTAATAATCATTGTATGCAGTTTCTTTACTAAAATTCGTAAATGATCCCTTTCCCACATAACTACTTGTTGCTGCTTTTAATTAATTATTTATTTATTTGGTACTGGGGACCTTGTGCTTGCAAGGCAGGTGGTGGAACCACTGAGCTAGATCCGCGGCCCCTAACTATGTTTTAAATGATATTTTCTTCTCACTTGGAGCCCTCTCTATTGATGAGTAAGATGTCTGAGTGTATTGGATAAATGGGTGTTGGGGATTAATTTATTCCTCTGGCCAGATTCTCTGCTGGGCTCTCTAGAGAACATACCTTTACATTAACCTCTCTGAAGTTTTCCTTCCTAGCTGTGGTTCCCAGTGATGAGACCTCTCCACCCTAACTCTGCTTCCAGGTGATGACACATCTCCACGTGATTGAAGAAAGGAGGAACCAGAGCCTCTCTCTGCTCTACAAAGTCCCTTACGTAGCCCAGGAAATTCAAGTGGAGATTGGTAGGTACTGGCCAGCTGCATCAAGGTCAGGAATACTTCTTGCTGAGGCTTAGGTGCCACAGCTGGGCAGGATGAGAGGATTTGGAGCAGGCAGTGCTCACAAGGTCAGGCTCAAGCATGCTGTGGCTCCAGAGGTCTGAAATCAACTGAAGCTCATATGGCAAGGTCAGGGAGTTCCTAAGGACAGCTGTACTGGCTAGAAACCACAGAGCCTTGAGTTTCCTTGACCTTTACTTCTTACTGGAAGAAAATCGAGGGTGTGAAATTGCAGGGGCTGAGAAGTTTCCTGTTACCATTTCCTCCTCCATTGCTGATGTATTCCAAGGCACCCTGTTTAACACTAATTCCAACCTCCTCTGCCATTTATTATTTTCCAAGCTTTATTATGTCTACTTTTGTATCCCAGAGTAAAATGGTGCACCAGGGACATTATCTACTAGAGTTCAGGTTATATGAGAGAAACTGATAGTAAAATAAAACAAGGATCAGGTGGTTGGTTCTAGGTGACAGGTAGAGCCTTACAGCTGGGGTGGAATGGTGGGAATACCCTCAGGCAGGGAGCAGTAACCTGGGAGTTAGAAAACTTACTGTTAGTAGGAGGGATTGACCACTCTGGGAAGCCTGAAGTTTAAGTCACTAGCACATTTGAGTCATTGTCACTGAATGAAGACAAAGAAGTAAGTAAGGTCTAGATACTAAAGACAGTTAAGTGAAATCAAGGAGTTTGGATTTTATTCTAGGATAATGGGAAGCACCTAGAGGACTTTAACCCTAGGGAGTGACTACATCTGGATATTGTCTCTTGGCTGCCTTGTGGAGAACTGATTAAAATTGGAAATCAGGGCCTGGGATTTAGCTCAGTGGTTTCACCACATGCCTCGCAAGCACAAGGACCCGAGTTCAATCCCCAGTACCAAAAAACAAAACCCAAAATTGGAGATCAGACCAGAAGAGATTATGAAAATCCAGGAGCAAGATTGTGGTAGTGTGTGCTGATAGAGAGATATCTGTGGGGTGCATTCCAGGGGAAGGATGAAGAGGTATGCTGAGAGGGCTGGGTGTGGGGCGATGGAGGGAAGAATGCCAAGAACAACCCAACACTGTGGTGAGGAGGTGAGGGAATGGATGGCAGTGCTAGTTCTTACAGAGGTGGAAAGAAAGCAGTTCTCTTTGTGTAGATTCAAATAGGTGAGGTTGAGTATGAAAGTGGAGATTGAAGGTATGGGAGCTAAAGGTTAAGGGTATGGGAATCATGGTAATTGCATGATTTTTTCAACAGGCATGGGAGGAGTAAGCCAAAGAGTAAGAGACTACAACTGTAGTATGATTAAGCGTAGAGATCAAATGTACAGTGTGAGCACTGTAGTCAATACTGTGTTTTGCTGGCTGTTATGGCGTACACCTATAATCCCAGCATTGGTGAAGCTGAACAGGAGGATCACCACGAGTTCAAGTCTAGCCTGAACTGCATAGCAAGGCCTTGTCTCAAAGAATGCATTATATTGTATGCTAAAGTTTTGCTAGGAGAGTAGGTTTTAGGTATTCATACAAATAAGAGTAACTGTGGAAGGTGATGGGTATTTAATAGGCACAATTAGTAGTCATTTTTGTGTTACCCTGTACATCATAAATATGTATAACTTTTAAAAATCCAAAACTGGCATTGGCGAAGACCCCTGAACCCGTATGTGGAGATCTGGGGGAAGAGGGTCTGGATAGAGCCCCGGGTTTCCTGGTGGTACTGTAGTCATGGAAAGTGCTTGGTGGTGGAGGCAGGGATGCAGAGATCACCTGGGTTGCAGACAGGTAGGACACTGGGTGGATTTGGAGCTTGAGCCTGACAAGAGTTAGCCTTTTGCAGACTGCTGATCCTGGGTAAACATACCAAGTCCTTCTGAAAGCCTCATTTCTGTTTGCTGGCTGTGTCCTCAGATGAGCTCCTTCAGGAACAGCGAGCAGACATGGACCAGTTCGCTGCCTCCATCTCGGAGAGCCCCATGGATGTCCGGGTGAGCTCTGAGGAGAGCGAAGAGTTCCCACCGTTTCACTCTATCCATCCCTTCCCACCCTTGCCTGAGAATGAAGGTGTGTATGGTCCTCACACAACTCCTTGACAGTGGGCTGAGGGACAGCAGTTAGGACATTGGAGTCCACTGTTTGTGTTCTGGTGAGAGTCAGGGAAAAGGAGACTGGATTCCTTAGGCACTGCTCTGTGTAGCACCAAGCTGGTCTGCCGGTGGGCTGAGTTCTCTACCACAGGAGGTCAGGAATTCTCCTCCTGTCTTATAGATGGTTTGCTTCAAGCCTGCTGCTTTTCCTGCTTCTGTGATGCCTTTCATGTGGGAGTCATTTTGCAGGTGAAACAGCACTTTCGTGTTAACGTTTGATATTTTTTATAACCTTTTGGGAGGTTAGGGGCTGAGGAGGTGCCTGGACTAGCTGAATGAAGGTCACATCTGTGATGTGGTTGGGTGAGAAGCTGTGTCCTCTGAGTCCTAGAAAGGCCTTCTTTCCTCCCTTCTCTTGCTGGTTCTTGTTGACTGACAGGATCTCTAAAAGCAATGTGTCTGCACCAGAAATAAACGTACTAGGGAGACTGGAGTCCTAAGACCAGTGTGTGTAATCAGATTCTATTTACTGCTGCTGCTAATGGTGATGGTAATGATAAAAATGACTCACAGCTATGGAGTCCAGATTTGCCAGATTTAGTTAAGCATTTGGCTTAGAGGCTTTCATTCCACAAAGTAATCCTCTAAGGTAGGTACTGTGAGTATCCCCTTTGGGAATTCTGAGGTTTAGAGAGTTTAAATACTTCCCATAGCCATTTATCTTGTAGGTGGAGAGTGAGGATTTGAACCCAAGCTGACAGGATCCTGTATGTCCCTAGGATACGCTCACACACCTCTGACCACAGATAGTGCTGAAATAGAGGCAGAGTCCAGCTTAGCTCTCAGACCTTTACCAAAATGTCTTCTAAGCTAGCTATCTCACAGATAAAAACTCTGACCTTCCAGTAATAAGACAAGAATGAGGCCAGGCATGGTGGCGCATGCCTGTAATCCCAGCACTCCAGGAGGCTAAGGCAGGAGTATCGCTGAGAGTTCAAGACCAACCTGGGCTATACAGTGAGTTCCAGGCAGTCTGAACTACATAGTGAGACCCTGTCTCAGATTAAAAATAAAACAACAGTCGCACTCTCGTGCGCGTGCGTGCTCTCTCTCTCTCTCTCTCTCTCTCTCTCTCTCTCTCTCTTTCTCTCTTTCTCTTTCTTTCCTCAAATGCACATTGTATCATTGTATACTTCTAGAATAAATAAATAAACAGGAATGCGAAACTCCTGGGTAGATAAAGAGGTGTCACCCATTTCTGACTCTGATCTTACAGGTCCAAGGCCTCTAGAATGGTAGGGTAGTCACATGGGGCCACTTCTTTATGCTTATTTGGAGTTGGATATAGCAGTAGCTCAACTAGGCCTTGTCTCCTTGTCAGTGAACCACAGTCAGTACTAACCTCAGCTTTTTTCTAAGAAAATAAGGTAAGGTAAATAACTTGGCAGTATCCTATAATTTCCCTTAAAAGGCCCACGCCAGACTTACTGTTTTTTCTCTCATCAAGGATGCCTTCTAGTAATTTGCTGTAGACATTATTTCTAGTTTGTTTATGGGATATGTCAGGCATGGTTTTCAAGTAAAAATGCCTTTTGTTCACATTATAATGAGATTCTAAGACAGGAATTTTGAAAGAAGCCAATTTCTTTCTTAATCTCCTTTTGTGCTATTTTTTTTTTATTGTTTTCCTTTCTGCTAGACACTCAACCGGAGTTGTACCACCCAGTGAAGAAAGGTTGGTTTGTCAAAGATGTTCCCTTTAAGACCTCCATTCCTTCTCACTTCCCCAGTGTGTCGGCAGCCTCACTTTCTGTTTCATGTCATCACCTGATTTCTCCACCTCATTCCCTCAGCCATGGTGGTGCCTGGAGCCACAGCAGCCCTCCCTCCTTGTTGTGAACAAGCTGCCCTGGCTTTCCAGTACTGAGTCCACTCTCATTGGCAGTGGTTGCTGTGTGGACGCCCATAGCTTTCTTTCTAGTATGTCCAGAGAAAGCACAGTAACTTAAATAGATGCTTTGCTAAATCCTTCTAGGATTTAGGAAACTTTAACAGGTTGCTTGTGAATTGCTGGTATAAATAAATTAACTATATATAATTCAGTCAGGGTGCATCTTTTGCCTTTCCTCTTCTTTTTTCTCTGCTTTTCCAAATACTTGCCTTTTTTCCCTTTCTTTTGAGCTGTCTCTGCCATGTGTGTGTCACTTGTCTGTGTCCCCTGAGTTGTAGCAAATTTGAGAAGAGATGGTAAAACAGGTAGAGACAGGTGAACTCTTGCTATAGCGAGTACCCAGTCTTTAAGGACAGTTCATATTTTGGAAGGCATCGTGCTGAGTGCCTTTTGTGCTTGATCTCATTTAACCCACTGAACCTTTCCTTGGGAAAGGATTCCCCGCTGTTTTACAGATGAGGCTGTTGAGGAAGCAAGTCTGTGTTCCTGGGGAGCTTTGTCCTTGAACCCCGTGTCGTGTGGTTTCTGTTGTCTAAGCTGCAGCAGCTGGGTGGGCAGTCCCCCTCTATCTAGTCTCTTCAAACGAGCAAGCTCTTCATATTGTTCGTGCGTTTAGGGGCCCACTCTTGACTTTGGCAGACTGATTATGAATAAACCAGTTTTCCCTAGCTTGGAATTCGGTGTTCTGGTGTATGCCACAGCTCATTCTCAACAGAAATGTGTGATTTGAATGTTCTGAAAGTCTCTTATGTGCAGCTGCTTTATTTTGGGTATGCTTTCTCATAGAGGTCACTGTGTTATTCCTCTCAGCAGCACATCTTTGATGCTTACAGATAAAGATGAAATTTCTCGAAATTTACCTGGCTTTTGCTTTCATAAACTCTTACGAGTTGGAATAATTTAACCCATTAATTTTTGGTCTCTTGGAGACACTTATTATGCATTTTAATAAGCCAAACTGGTTTTGGTACTGACCAAAGGCACAATGAGGAAGCCAGGTGTGGTAGTGCATGTCTGTGACCCAGCACTGAGGAGGCCAAGGCAGGGGGATTACTGCGAGCTCGAGGCCAGTCTGGGCCACGTAGTGAGACCCTGTCTCAAAAAGGGGTGGTGGGGAATGATGCGGTGATCCTACCAGAAAAGGATCAGGATGGTCTGGACTGGCAATACGTCTTTACGTGAATTTTTAAAAATACAATCTTTCCCCTTTGCCCTTTAAAATTCTGAAGAGATAAAGGTATGGAAGTAACTTGGAATTAGGATTTACTGGGCTTGTTCATAGCATTCTTTACAGATTCCTCTTTCTCAAAAGCTGGAGTAAGTGCTGCTGTTTCATTGGCATTTTAAGACTATAAGAGCCAGCTCTGGCTTAATTTGAATCAAGTTGTGCAAGACTTTTTAAAGCGAAAGCCTTGGAAAAACTTACATAGTTTTTGGCTGTGTTATAATGCATTAGTGCAGCTGCAGAGGCTGTGAGTTGCCCCTGCTGCCCTTTGATAAGGTGTCTGGTTGTGGACTGGAAGGCTCTGCTGGAAGACAGTTGCTGGAGTCCGCCTGCCTGCCTCCACTGAGCTCAGGACAGCAGTGCTGTGCACAGACTCAGGTAGTTACCTTAGAATGTTGAATACGCTGTTAGGTTGGTCTGCTTGTTTATAAAAAGACAAAACAGATGTGTGTGTGTGTAGAGCCACATATATTATTGTAAAGCAGCTTAGGATGGCTAGAAATCATAGGCTTTGGAGCTAAAAACAAGGGGATTGCCTCTGCTGTTCTCCTTGCTGGGTCCAGCCATGCTGCATATTTGGATGCTCTTATCCCAAGTGTCACACACAAATGACATTAGCTCAGGCCGTGTCTGATCTTGGAAAGAAGAGAGCTGATCTTGCTTGGTGGGGGGAAAGGTGCTTTCTGTCCTGCTTTTAGGATTGTCCTTGCTCATGAAATGCTTTTTCCTGTTCATCCTGTACTAACCAATGAAGGTGCCCCTGTCTGGGATCTCCTCTCTGACATACATGCAGCCCAGTGGGAGATGCAGAGGGACACTGATAATGGAAGGAAAACTAATTTTAAGAGGTCCAATCTGAGTGCCTCCTATAAGGAACTGGAATTTAAAGGACAGATATAGGTGGGCTGGAGGGTAGGGAGTGTATTTGAGGTGAAAGAATTGCCTTTAGAGTAAACTCAAGCTCAAAGCTAACATGCAAATAAATAATTGCTGGGTGATGCTGCAGACCCAGGTGCTGAAGGATTGGGCCATGGGATAGCAGGTGCACAGCTCAGGACATATCACATGGGGTGGGTAGGGCTGCGAGTTTTCCGTGATAGAATGCCCTTGGATTCAGCTGCTATATACCTTACCAAAAGCATTCTTTCCAAAGGCATGCATCCCATTTTTCCAAGCAGGAGAAAATAAGCAGTCTGTCTTCCTTCATTACGCCCACCAGTCCTCTGAAAGTGCCTGCATCATTCATCCCAGGGTAGAACACAGTGCGTCCTCCAGCCATGGGAACACAATGGTGTACTCAGTTGTGGGCAGACATTTGGTGAGGGGCTCCAGCCCTCAGGCAGGAGTCTGCTGCTGCTTTGAGACCAGCCTGAAGTAAGCTGCCTGGAAACTCAGCTGTGATCTCTCTCCACACAGGGTCAGGAGTGGGAGAGCAGGACCGGGGACTGATTGGTGCAGAAGAGAAAGTGATTAACAGTAAGAATAAAGTGGATGAAAACATGGTGAGCCCATTCTCTCTTGCCCACTAAAGTGTTAGTGCTTAAGGATGTGTTGTCCAGGTGCTCCCGCAGATGGACTGTGTTGTGAAATCTTTCTTTCTCCAGTAGCTCATCTCTGTACAGTAGACACATATACAGTGTGAAAGGTTAAATCAAAATACCTTTGCTTTGTACACACTCATTCCATTGTTATTGCCACTTTCTGAAGTGGTTCTGGATGTCCTCTTCCTTGAGTGTCTTTAGTTGTGCTGTCATAGCTGACTTGATGTCCTGAATCCATTCAAAACAGATTCCTTTTGTGATCATTTGATTCTGGGGAAGAAGGTGGACGAGGACACATTGTTATTATTTTTACCAGCCTGGCTTTGTGTTGGATGGCACTTGACAGCAGGGCACTGTATTTTTTTTTTTTTTTAATAACACCTCACAACAAAAGAGAACTTCAAGGAGAATTTCAAAAAGTGGCAAGAACAGTTGAAGCATTCACTGTACATTTTGATTGCTCCTCATGCTTTTGGTACTAAATATTTGAATAAAATGTTAGAAGCCATTTTCAAGTCAGTAGAGATTTGGTAACTTAAAAATAGAATTAAGTTGAGTTCGTTTTTCTTTCTTCCTTTTTTTTCTTTTAATGAGGCCTCACTATGTAGTTTGGGCTGGCCTTGAACTCATGTAGTTCAGGCTGTTTTTGAACTGACCTCAATTCTCCTGCCTCAGCCTTCCAAGTGCTAAGATTACAGGCATGCACCACCATGCCTGGCTTAGGTCTGGTTCTTATACCACCAAAATTTATACCCTCTGTACTCTCTTTTTGGTTTGTTGGTTTGTTTTTGGTTTTTTGAGACA